ACTGTTCCGCGTTCCGCTGAAGTGAATCGTGAATCGCGTTCCGCAGGAAAGAGTGGCGATTCAGTTCCGTTCTCGCGCTCGTGACCCAGCCCTAACAGATGACATCGGCGAGTCGGCCACTAGATGGAGCACTCACCTATTCCTAAATGTGTGTTGATGCTGGCGTATCGGGCGGTGCCGGTGAGGTTCTTGTTCTCCCTGTAGGGTATATGTTGGTGAGTGCGCGCGTCGCGGTACTTCTTGGCCAGGCCAAAGTCAATTATGTACACAAGGTTGCCCTTCTTCCCCAGGCCCATCAGGAAGTTGTCGGGCTTCACGTCTCGGTGGATGAAGTTCTTGGAGTGGATGTACTCTATTCTGCTGATCTGTGGACAGAAACATTTGGGTGGAGATGAAGTTCTTTGAGTGTGAACAGAAACATTTGGGTGGATGAAGTTCTAGGAGTGAATGTACTCTATTCTGTTGATCTGTGAACAGAAACATTTGGGTGGATGAAGTTCTAGGAGTGAATGTACTCTATTCTGTTGATCTGTGAACAGAAACATTTGGGTGGATGAAGTTCTAGGAGTGAATGTACTCTATTCTGTTGATCTGTGAACAGAAACATAATTTGTTTGTTTTTTTATTTTTAGTAAGAGTTTTACAGCACTTGCAACACAATAAGATCATAAGTGCCGAAGATTAGAGGTGTTACAATAGAGTAACAAACATAAAAAAGAAGGAGGAGAGATCAGGACGATTGATGTTTGATAGGAAAGAAGGAGCAAACCACACCAGAGCACCTGCCAACCACCCACCAAACATTTGGCTGGATGAAGTTCTATGAGTGAATGTACTCTATTCTACTGATCTGAGGACAAAAACATTGGGCGAATGAAGGAATGAATTCTCATCATTCTGATCATCCTGTGGATGCCTTTTTTTTTATTGTAGGTGTTTAGTTTTTACGCCCCTAATTGACCAAATTTGTGTCATTTAGTGGGCGGGCTTTGACCCTCTGCCTGTCAAGGCCAGCCCAGGCAGAGAGGGATTTGACTACAACATCCCACATCTTGGACCATTTCGACTGTGCATTTCCATTTAATGGATGCATATATCTAAATAAGTCAGAATATTTTGTCTCCTTTAATTTGAGCGCCCTTTGAGAGTCCAATCCCTTAAGTTTTCTAAATCAAGTCGTGTAAAAGACACCCACTTTACCATACAACAAAAATGAGCAATTTTTTTTTAAAATAAAAAAGTAAGGGCCACCACGATAAAAGTAAACACATCTTCAAAGCAATGAGTTGTGACATCTAAACAAGTATTTTTAAAACATTTGACGGTCAAATAAGGGGAACAAAGGTTTCTGACATGAAAAAACAAATTTTGCAGACTGCTTCCAATGTTAACATCTATTTTTCCTTTTTAAGTCCATTATTTTAAGGGATGCCACTGGGATTTTCTGCGAATACCAGAAATTTACAAAGTAATAGACACCAGCTTCTACCAATACTATCATGTAGTTAAACAAATAACAAATGCTTAAAATAATAACTGTTCTTCTGGTGAAAATAATGGGGGTGAAAAAAACCCCAGGAAAAACCGATACCCCTGAAACAATAGAGACCGTCACAAACATCAACATTTCTTTTTTCAAGCCCATTCTCCACCGCACTCACCAGCTGATCTGCCAGAAGCAATACTGTTTTCAGGCTGAACTTGCGCGAGCAAAAGTTGAAGAGGTCCTCCAGGCTGGGGCCTAGGAGCTCCATAACCATCACATTGTAGTCTCCCTCCGCTCCACACCATTTGATTGTTGGAATGCCCACTGGTGGCAGAACAAACGAGAGAAGACAACGGCGGTTTAGTTGTAGTTAGAAGACTTTTACGGCACTAGCAACACAAATAGTTGAAAAATAGGTCATGATATCAATGCCGAAGATAAGAGGAATTACTAAGAGTAACATATCTAAAGAAATATAAAGAAAGGAAGAAGGAGACATAAAGAGGATGTAGAGATTTGATAGAAAAGATGGAGCAAACTACACCAGAGCAGAGCACACACACACACCAACCACCCAAACACAACAACAGCTATCAAGACTGAAAGCAACTGTTACAAATTCGGGAATACTTCAGAGAGGAGACTTGACATCGGAGAGAAAGAGGGGTGAGACAACAAAGACAACTTCATATTATAAAGTAAGTTCAAGATAGACGACATCTCAACAAAACCTATAATTACACATAGAAAAAAGAACTTAAACACCACTTGAAGAAACATGAAGAGTTCTCTATATTGAAAAAAACAAAACATTTGGGCATAATAAGTCCGACCTTGTGTGCACATCACTAATATAACTGTCCCGGAATGTTTGTTACAAGACACTTGAGGTCATTATTTTTTTTGCTTTTTTTTTTTTTAAAGTCTAAATTTTTCTAACATTTCAAATTGATCTGTTGCCTTTGAGACTTTAAAAAGATATTGAGAGGTGAAAAAATGAAGAAAAGCAGTATTTTTTAAAAATAAATGACAAAAAAGTAGCAATAGAACTTGCAATTAAAATCAATTAATTTTCTGTTAATTATTCGAGATTTAAATTTAAAGCATTGTTATCATGATTCCAAGATGTCAAAGCAAGCAATGCCACAGAACATCAATTAAAGGTACACACAGAAATGCACACATTCAAATTTAAACTCTATGCTCAAAACAAAAAAGACAAGGAAAAGAAAAATGAATGCAGAACTAACTAAAGTATTGTGTTAACGTAAACAAGAAATAAAAAAGTTGAAACAGAACAAAACTTTGTAAAAAAAAATCCAATTCACCAAAACAAGGATTCATTTCAATTAAAAGTGGGACTGAAACAACTGTCGTATAATGTTTAAAAGCACTGGTGGTGAGTAGAGTTAAACACTGACACACAACGAAATAAAAAACATCAAGATGATAATAATAAATAGAACAAAAATAATTGACACCATGTGTAACTTCAGGCAGATGACAATAATAATATAATTCACTCCTCTATGTAAATTAAATAGACATGCCGTAAAACTTATCAAAAACGCTGACATGCAGGTTAAATGCAGTGCTCGGATCCGGCGGAATGAATGAGAGGTTTGACAACAAGAAGAACTGTACCCACATCATGACAACTATCTATAAGTAGCATAGCAGAAAGAAACTGTACTGGGTAGTAGTAACCATTATAACGGGTGGGTTGGGGAGTGAAAAGCTTTGTTAAGAGCGGGGACAACAACTCTGAATCCCCCTTCCTCCCTCCCCTTTGGCTCAATTCAATCAAAGTGCGGGTATAAAAGTCTTGCAGGCATAGTGAACATAAAATCTTTCCCTCTCCTGGTGGAACACAAACATGCAGACTCTTCGAGAAACATGGTGTTTCAAAATCACTCGATAATAATAAAAGTGCAGACTCCCAAACAATAGTATGCCTCCACAACAGAATGAGAATTAGTTCAGCACGTACACAGAAGTGGCTGAAAATTATGGTTGGTTTTTTTTTGGTCAGAGATTAGAATGGTCACCCTCTTGCACAGCCAACTGAATTGTCATTCAAATTTCAACATTGCCAAGACCCAGGGGGGGTATATGCTTGATAATATGCATGCATAAATGAAGACAAAATAAGAAAACTTAAGTCTCCAAAAAAGTTGAATCTGAAAAGGAAACGACATTAAAAAAGATGTAAATTATCTCTTGTCGTGAGGAACCCAAAAAAGTCAAAGTAAATTTTAAAAACCCACATTTAACATTGTGTTTCAACAAAACTCCAACTTGACAAGAATTCGCTTCACCACACAAGGCAGTACATCGTGCTTTTTCTAACAGTTGTTTTTTTTTGTCCTTTACAGAAAGAAGTGTTGCCACAGGAATCCACTGAACCACCAAAGTGCTGATGCCCCTACCGTCCTCTCTCACTCATATATACTAATATATGGTCACTAAGTGAAATTTTATTAGTTCAGAAATACTACAGCTGGAGAGCAAACTGCTTGCTAGACAAAAAAGCAAAACAACCACAAAGTATACAAAAATATACAAGATAGATAAATATAGACAGTCACATCTGTTCAAAACAGAAGGATGATAAATGAGACATTATATTTACATTACATAAAAGCCAAAAAATTGTTAATTTAAAATTTAAAACAAAAACGTCTCCTCTTCAGACTCGGAAGTTTTCCTCTGAGTGGCCGACTACACTACACATTAAGCATAAATAAGCATAAATTATCATTCTGTTTTGAACACACACAGCCATACAAAACCACTGGTGACACAAAAGTATTAACTGCAACACATATGCTTGGGAACAAAACCACAAGACAAGTGGCACTTGACACTTTCAGTCAAAACAGCAAAAACAAAACAAACAAAACAAAAAAAGACCATGGAAAAATGTACATATAAGAAACGGTATTTTATACACATTTTTACATAAAGCTGTGCTTAACTTGCATACAGATTATTACTACACCATTAAGCAAAAATTTGAGTAGAATCAAGGAGGAAGATTTATAGCATAATAAGAAAACTAACAAAGTGCAGCATTTCTCAACATAACAGACAGTGTATGTCTCAAAACCACGGTAAACGGGTATAACAGTGCACAAAATGCACCTTTTTCTTGTGTGGAAAGGTAAAAGGAAACAGCTACTTACCACCTCCTTGCATCATCCGGTAGATTTTGCTTTCAATGTGAAGCTGGGGGTGCTTGGTCTTAACACATTCCAGCTTGATAGCCACTTCTTCTCCATTGGAAATGTCAGTACCTGAAGGAAACAGGTGATAACTGTCACGGTAGTCACCATATTGTACCTTACTCTTTTTTAATCACGGGACGTAAGCGCCCCGTATGCCATGGGCTTTTGGTTAATGTTACTCACTCCGGGGATCAACATAAAAAGTCAGACACTACACCTGGGCTCATTATTAGAATGCTTGCTGTCGTGTGTGTTCGTCTCTCCAGTTTACAGTCGTGTGTGTATAATACTAACATTACAATAACTTTATACTAATACCAACAAAGATAAGGCTCAGAAAACATTTTTATATAACTCTTTTTTTTTAAAGGGGGGACAAAACTGAGACAATAAAATTGTGTGAAATATCAGTTAAACTTGAGCGAGTTCCTGGTAACAAAGGGGGTTGAAATTAAAACTGAGATCATCATTCTGACAGGTTCTTCTACCCTTCAATCCCATTTGGTTAATCATGCTTTAAGTCAGATCAAATTCAGGCCGAAGGGCTAGAACCCAGATGACTGCTGGATAGAAAAAGAAAAGTAAGATAGTAAGTCAGATTCTTAGGCCTGCAAAATGATGTTATAATCTAGTGTATCAAATTACTCAAGACACCTTTAGCAAAATATTCAAAAATTGCTTTGAGTATTAGATCTAACATAGTACAACATAAAACTATCAGAAGGAATTTTGAGTATTTATTAGTAGAGTTCAGACAGGTACAGGAGTAAAACAAATGTGAGACAGTGTGGTGAAATCAGGCGTTCGTCAAAATAATGAAAAAATGAAGAAACTGGCATTTTCCTCCAGGTCTAAGAATTTTTATCAAATTTTTTATTTTTGGCACATAAAATTTATCATTTATTTCTCTACACTTTATATTTTATTTACGGGAAAAAAAACGAAGCGACTATTTCTCCGAACGCTCAGGAAAATAAACTTGACCTATATTTCTCTTAATGGTTTCCGTCATCGAGATGTTTTGGTTATAGTTGCGACATTTAGGCGTCATCTTTCCTTGATTTCATTCTGCGACTCTGCAAGGACTGGGAAGAAGCATTTTTTGTATCGAATTCAATTTCTAGAGCTAAATATTTTTTAATGTCTGAATACTCAGATTCAGATACTTCAGTTGTGGTTGGGGCAACGTTCCCGGACTTAAACTTCATTTGTCAATGCCTTCAAAAGGTACTGCGAGAAAACAAGACGGCTCGACTTTGGCAATAACCCATTTTGCCTTTAGCCACCCCAAAAGCAAAAAGTAACATCCTTAGATGTAAACAAACAAAAAAATCCCTCCAC